AGGGGGGCACAAAGAAATACTTTTCTTTCTTACTCTCATATAAAATATTTAGCTTTTATTAAATAGTTATCTGAATCTTACAACCAAAGTTTGTATAATAATACACAAGATTGGCTGTAGACCATTGTTAATCATTCAGAACACTGTGTAAAAATAACAAAAAGTGAATGCGAACGTGCATAAATATTTATTTTATGTGTTTGATGTGTGTGGCGGGGCAAACATTGTTGGTCTGCCGTGGTACAATGGGACTTCTGCTCATGAACCTCTGTGCACAGCGTCTGCAAATCGGGGCTGTACGAAGTCACCTCATCTTTACACAAAATTGTGAGCTGTCATCTGTGAGGCGCGAGCGGTGTTTGTTTTTACCATAGTTCATGGTGGAGAATGGCTGCTCTGCTGAGTTTTGCTCTCTGTAGCCGTATGAATGGCAAACTACACTGATTAGCAGCAGCATTGGCACACTTAAAATTTCTTATGAAATTTTCACTTTCTAGTATTATTGTTGTTGTTGTTGTTGGTGTGATTTTATTTTTTGTGCACTATTGAAATGATCGTATTTCATTTTCACATTTCTCTCAATTGCTTCCAGGGTTTACCTTTTACCCTTGCACCTCCTGTTAGTTATACATTATGTTACATTATATATGTAGATGGATACTTTAAAAGTGCCAGAGGGACATAGTCAGGGCTTTTTACTGAGACATAATTTTACTGTGAAAAATGTTTCAGTAAAAATAAAATTTGAAATGAGGTTAATGAATGTCTGGTATGTAGAAATGAAACAAAGGCAACAGAATGCTGAAACTACAGTGAATCTGTTCCTTCTGACAAACCTTCAATTGATATAAAAATACTGCGGGAATCAGGCTTCAACATAGCTCGATATCAATTTCTGATTTTCTTGTTGATAAACACTTTTAAAATAAAAGGTGGAAACAGGAGATTTAAATGGCATTTTATTGTAAGACAGCTCATAAGAATGATTAAAACATGGAATAAATAAATAGATTATTTTAAGACATTAAAAAGATAAGCAAAGCAGTAACATGTTCTCATGCTTTACTGCATATTGTTAGTGGACATATTTTCTGATCTTAAAAGGGGAAGAAAGCTCTGACACACTGACTGACTTGCAGCCATTTCTCACTTATCTGAAGAGCGAGGCAGGAAGTTGATTTCTAGATAAGAGTCAGCACTTCTAAGCAGAGGGGACCACATATGTGACACATGCTGTACTTGATCTAATGAGACTTGAAAGCAAACAGTTAAATGTAGACCTTCACATTCAGCACGACTGCACCAGTAAACTGGTCCAGCTTCCTGTCAGTAAGCCTGCTGTTTTCGAGCCTTTCAGGCATCCTGCTGCCAAAGGCATCGTCTTATCTGTCTTAACCTCAGATGAAAGAAAGAAAAGGTTTTACTTGAACCCTTTCATGCAGAGTGGTCCCTACAGTTACAGCTGTTCAAAGGCTGTTTTTGTGTTTTTGTGTCAGTGTTGATGGTGTACTTGCACATAAACCTCTACATACACATCAGTGTCCACCTAAATGCATAAAGATGATGAAGATGATGAACTCTCTTCCTCATACATTAAGAACTGTGGACTCGGTAGTTGTTTTATATTGTCTGTTTTACCTTTTTATTATTTGTTATCTTATGTGCAGCACTTTGATTCTGTCTAGAAAGGTGCTATATAAATAAAAGTATGTTTATTTATTTATCATAAAAATACTTCAGAAAAAATCCTGATTGAGGTCGTCATCATTCATGCATGAAAGGGTTAAAGGTTTTTAATGGCTCATATTATTATTTTATTATTATGATAATATTATTGCTTTCTTTATTTTTACATGTACGTGACCCCAATGTGAAACTGAACAGTAGTTTGTAGAGCAGTGGTTTTGCTGAGTCACTGGAAACTGAAACTAAAGCGAGTCAGAAATAACCCTCTCAGTCTCTGAGATAACAGATGAAATGTAAAGGTTTGATAAGGCAGGTGTTTCCGGAGCACGACCACCTTTTAATCTCTCCTGAAGTTCGATGGCAGGTTGCACACGTATAGTTCAGCTACTAGCTTAACTGATCCGTTTGCTTTGCTGTCATGTGAGTATAAGGCTGTGGACGGTGAATCAGACTAGTAAAAAGTCAAATGAGTACATTTATTGCTTTATTTTGTGCTAAGTGTACTTATAAGAGAAACAAAAAGTGAAAAATGTCAACGATGTCTGGCTCGTCTGTGCCGTTGCTTCACTAAGACAGATATGTGTGAAACCCTGCATGAGCAACCCTCAGTGGGCTGGCCCTGTCGCTAACTTAATATAACTCGAGTCGTCCCAAAACTGAGGTCCCTGTTAGCGTCTTCATGCCTCAGAGCCACTCAGTCACATTGTTCTCTCGAAGCTGCACATCTGTAGGAATGAGATAAGAGGATTTAAAGTAAAACCAAACATCAGCAAGTCGGTGAGTTCACCTGTAATTCACATTCTGCATGGTTTTAAATACGCGTATGATGGGAACACAGCTGTATTGTAAGATTACAGCTGTGCTGCAGTCATAAACAATGCTCTTAGTGTTGTCCTCACTCTAGTTGGGCTGACATATCTGAGGCGCACTGTTGCAGACGCCAAGGTTACATTTTTATACGCTTCGAATCGCTGTGTCTATTTTCTACACATGCATAAACTTCCTATAATTAAAAGATGCTTTAACCTTTCTGTCGCGGGTTTTAAGAACTGAAAAAAGCTGCATTTAGAGAACAACCTTCTTCTCCTTTCTGTGTTATTTTGACACTTTTGCACAAATATCTTCTTGGTTGTGTAATTACTTTGTCATAAGGCTGTTTCTAAAGTCTTTCTACAGCTCGCATGAATCAAATCTGCTAAAAGCTGCATCGCTTGAACCTGAAGGCAGCGACTCAATGAAAGCAGGACTGTGTGTCTGCACTATATTGTTGTTCTTGTCCCTGAGCTCTGTGGAACATCTGTGCACGAGTTTTAACATTAGGTCATCTAATTCAGCTGAAGGGAGAGGTGCTAGCTATGGAGCCACGGGCCTCAGTCACATCCTTCAAGGACATCCCGGTACGTCGATGGAGCCTGCGCTCCAGCTGCAGTCTGCCTTATGGCTCTTTTGCAAACAGCCTGGCGTCTCTCACACCCGACGCTGAGGAGAAACCTGCCATATCGCCCAAACGCGCCTATGTCACCATGTTTGTGCTTTGCTACGTCAACTTGCTCAACTACATGGAGCGGTACACAATAGCAGGTTGGATGATTTCTTTGTCGATACAAACTATTTACTGCTTCCAGTTGGGCGGGGCTCGCACTGAATGGTGTTTCTGGCCTTACAGGCGTCCTTACAGATATTCAAAAGTTCTTTGATATCAAGGACAGCACAGCTGGACTTCTGCAGACAGGTATGATGAAGCATTGATGGATGAATTTGTTTTGCTTTTTTTGTTTTTAATGTAAGTGCGTGGCAGACCCGCGTGTCGTCAACTGTACGTACGATCAGGCACCTGATTACGCAGCGCTGTGTTTGGATACGGCAGCTTTCACTGATGTGTGTTTGCTGTGAATGAATGATGTCATTGAAAAGGAATAATTGAGTCCATCAATTTTCAGTTTTCATCTGCAGTTTTCTCCTTTTGGCCCCTCTCTTCGGTTACCTTGGCGACCGCTACAATCGCAAATACATCATGATTGGTGGCTTGAGTGTCTGGCTTTTGACTGCAACCGCCAGCTCTTTTGTCAATGAATCGGTAAGTGAGGAGTATTTTACAAGGACTAACAAAGTAACACAACTTTGCATTGCTGCGTTGTTCTAATTCATCACGTCTGTGGGAAAGGCCGAATTTCAACTTTTGACTCAGTGTTTGTGGTTCAGGGTAGTTTTCCATAAAACCTTCATATTACAGCTGCTTTGGCAGGAACAAGCACGTTAACCCAAAATATTATCTCATCTTCATCTTCAAGTCACAAAATAGAAGAGATGTGTTTAAGGTAATAACATGAAAAACTCCTAATTAAAACAGTTTGTTGATCAGACCACAGATTGATTTCTTACTGAACTCCATCAGCTGAGTCGTCCTCTGGTGAGGCAGAAACTGAAAGTCCAAGACGGTTAACCTGCACCCCGTCAGACAATCTGAATTATTAAATTAAAAGAATGAACAATTTGTCTTCATTAGGTTTAAAAAAACTTTATTGTCATCTGGCTCTATAGAAACATACCGCTGTGTCATCTGCATAACCACGCTGACAAATGTTAAGCTGTTTGATGAGGTTTCATCAGATCGAGACGTCACAAAAACCTGGTCTGCACAGGTTACAGAGTTCCTGATTTAAACACAGGAAATTCCAGCCCAGCGCGTTGGAGCATTTTCTAGTCTGTGGTATCAAAGGTTTCAGTGAAAATGAGGACGGCACAATAAGAAGCTTATTAAGTTAGTCTGAGGTGACCAAACTATGCTGGTGAGGAGGCCGCTGCACTCTGTAATCACACTGGAACTTATCAAGCGATTCATGTTTGCATCAGTGCAGCTTTTTCTACAAAACAGTCTGGTCTGTAAATGTTTGTGTGTTCATATTTGATATCCTTAGAAGTGGTTTAACTACAGGGAGAGACTCCATCACATTCAGCTGTAGTGTTGACAGGCGCAGAGTTACGAGTTTCAGGGAGGGGGAGCTGTGAAACTCAGTGGGGTCTGACATCATTTCCCATGTTTGTGTTGAAAATGTATCAGAGGTTTGTTGTACCTTATCTGCAGACTGCTTCTGCTGATGACTCATCGTGCATGTAACCATGTGCGGTTGACAGAAAACATGTTGAATATCTTTGATGTTTTTGTCTCTGCAGCAATTCTGGCTCCTCGCGCTGCTGCGAGGCTTGGTGGGGACCGGAGAAGCCAGCTATTCCACCGTCGCTCCGACCATCATAAGCGATCTCTTTACTGGGGGCAAAAGGAGCATCATGATCTGCATCTTCTACATCTTTATCCCTGTCGGGAGGTAAACAGTAGGG